AGCGTGAATCGGTGGAGCTTACCACGGGGCTGAAATTTGAGATTCGTAGTGTACACAGTACGATAAACTGAGAGAGCGATACGATTCAATGCATTTTTTAGATTTTTCGTTGTTCAGGTTTTTATTTAGACGAGAGTATTTAGAAAGATAAGTCTGTGGTTCAAAGAATAAAGACGAGATATGTTATAAATAGGTAACAAGGATCTCGAAGTGTGGCAGGCTATAGAGTTGAAAAAACATTTCTAGAGAATATCTCTATTAGATCTCTCAATGCATTTTATCAGAATCTTCGTTTAGTCGAGCAGTATTTTCCATATGTTTTTCGTAATGTCTTTATTTCGTCTATCCTAAAATGTTTGTTATACAGCGCAAGAATGTAGATAAAAACAAGAAATTGAAAACCATACTAACAAAAAAAATTTTATACCTGAGTTTCAAAAAAAGGATTATTTATATTTACTTAATTTCAGACGAATTATATATTTCCTTTGATAAACATCCTACGATTTTGGTGTCTATTTATAACTATCGCATTCAGCATTCCATTATTATTGCTTGAATTTGGAAAAGTGTACTTTTTATTAGCTATTCCACCCAGAGACCATACCGGTGACCTTTATTATATATGGTAATAATATTATAATAAATAAATCCTACAATTATCTTACTCTTGAAACTGTGTATTCGTCTCATTCTCTCGAAACTTAGATTTTTGAAGGTTTCACTTCTAACACATGTGATCTGCACACATGTTTTTTGTATTTATATTGTTATTTAGAATGGAGAATAATATTGGAAATGACACAATAATGGATTGAAATATTATGAGTAATAGCTTTGTAACTTTTCAAATTTTTGCAGCAATAAATTTATTTGAATATAGCTGCTTCTTTTTAAAGGGTTTTATATTACCTGTTCGAACTTTAATTCGTACCACTGCAAAATGAATCTTTAATAGCATTTATTTGGTCATAAGTACCACCACGTGATGTGTCATTAAACTTTTAATAATTGCTAATTAGATATTTCATTTTATAAATAAGAAGCAAAACAAACATTTTTACGTTAGTAATTTGCATTTGTGAAAAATGAATGCAGTTTAATATTGTTAAATGTCTACGAAAGTAGGATCGATATCGAAATTGAGGTGCGTCAGAGTCGCGTCAGGGTTTCTATAGAACTGTGTAGGATTGTGAGATAGACGAGGCTCGTAATTAACAAGGGTGAAAACGTCTCGAGGTAAGCGGAAATTAATTTGTTTCTCGGGATGCCTTAGCTTAAAGCTCCGAGTGAATAAAGAGGGTTGGGATCTTATCGTTTTCTTTGCTCCTTCGTGTTTGTCTTTCTTCTGGAAGACTACGAACTATGGAGTAGAAAGTTTCTTAATCTTCTTAACGTTTCCCTTAACGCTCAACTTCCCTTTTGCCATCGTCTTATAACTATCGACATGAGTATTCGAGACACGCTCAAGCGTGTGCCGTTTTTATTTTATTTCTTTCTTTATATAGATAATAACAATGCTACATAACAAAATAACATTTTGTTGCTCTTATAAGTGATATTGAATTATTTACCAAGTATGTTCGTTTAATCTTAAGATTCAAAATTATCGTAAATATATTTATTTGTTAAGAGCGAAAAAGCGGATACTAATGTATGTAGGTATACATATATACATATGTATATATAGTAACGTGGAAACTGAGAGGAAAATTAATAGCGGCCCGTTGTTTCCACGGCGAAGCGTGAAATAGAAATTGCAGTCACGGAGAGATCATACGAAATGGCGGAAGCAGAAGGAAACTTTAGATTGCTCCTCTAAAGTTTCGTCACGCGAGAAAACCGAAGCGACATCGACGAGGCTTAGGCAGTTCGAGTTTCGAATGACGAACGCCATTCGCGTGAGGACATTTTCGACTTAATAAATGGATGTCTACTATTCGCTTCATCGATAACTTGTTAAAGCAGTTTAAAACTGCAAATCGTTGGTTTTACTAAATACCTTTTGCTTTTTCTCTTTAATTTGAGTAAAAAATATACCAAGAGAATATACAAATTTATATAATACATTTTTTATCCTTGATGTCAAATACGAAATAAACTTTTTTCATCATATTTTTATTAAATGTTTTTTATCAAATTTCAACTCGAATGGAGAATATTAAAAACGATTTATTATAGGTATATTATGAATCTTGGCATCTCGTTAAAAAATTCACTGTTTTAACGAAATAATATGTGAATTACACATATTTGCGATTTTTATTCAAATAAAGAATAACTATATTATATTTTTTCTATCTTTTCCTGTAACTAGAGATATCGTTGAATCAATAATAATAATTGGACAAAAAAGAAACTATGTATCTATGGTTGAGAAAAACCGAAGCGAAATGATGCCATTCTTTTTTCGAAAAAAAGTGAAATATTTATGACTGTATCCATATATATACATCAAGGGCCTACTTGAAAAACGTTCGTGCGAGAGGACGTTATACGAGAGATTTGTTTCAACAAGATATGGTCGGCCAAAAACTACAAGTATTTGTTCTTCTTTTTCTCTAAGTCTCTCTCTCTCTCTCTCTCTCTCTCTTTCTCTCTCGGTTTCAAGAGATAAACATATGAGAGATATACGTATATATGTACATATGTATATTTCAAATCGGAATATTTCACATATTCAAAAACGTCTTATCGTGGTATCATGAAGAGAAAACGTTGCCATGGTTACGTCGTCGCATATGTTTCTTACATATGTGTAGTATACGTCTAGTAAAGTACAGGTAAACCCATACATGCTAGATATTTTTATATTTATATATAAATATATTTATTAGATGAACATCTCTGGATATCGTTCACGGACGAGATATCGAATTGCGTAGTCATACGTGAAGATAGACACGAATGACGCTGAGATCGGGCTGAGAAAATTCTGACCTTACTCGTTTTACCTATCCGCAGAATTGTTGAGGGTGGAAAGAAATGTTGGGAATGTCTACTATGATAGTGGATAAAAACGTGTAGTATTCGCCTACGAGTAACGCTTAAATTTACGAAAAAAAGATTTTCAAACGATGATTCATGTACACCACCGTAAAAAAGATCCTACGAAGAAAGAAGGAAAAGAAAAATGAAATAGATACGGAAATACGCTAGTTTTTCTTTACTCTCTCTCTTTCTCTCTCTCTTTCTCTCTCTCTCTGTCTTTCTTTCTTTCTTTCTTTTTACATGTCTAATTTTTAGTCTTTCTTTTGTATTTATAACGTGTAATAAGATTTAACAGACCATTGTAACATCTCAAATGAAGAATTAAAAAAAAGAAAATTCTTTTATCAGTTAGAAATAAGTCAATAATAAGTTCCATATATGATAAAATACGTTTAATTCAATTAAAAATTAATGATTTGCATTGAAGGAAAACATAGGTTCCAATATTTTTGCGATATAAATTCAAGTTGAATATTAAAATGGAATAGTTTGTCTAGTGCCATGGTCTTTTTAATGGTTTTTTCTTTTTATTTTATTTTTCTCATAGATTTGAAATTGAAAATTTATCTACCGAATATCTATGATATTTCGTGCGTCGAGTAACCTTTTGAGATATACGATTTCACGATCCGTTAAACACGGTGATAATAACCATCAGTAGTTGCTTCTTACGATATGTAGGAAGGAAAGAAGGAATCGATGTTTAAAATTTTAGATTTAAACGATATCCTTCTATAATATTATTATATAGACACAGACAAATTGAAAAAGTATACGAAAATACTTGAAAGTTGTATTAAGTTTCGTATAAGTATAATAATACTAATTCCTTTTTTTTTGCAAATAAAGTTATTTTAGACAAGTTCGAATTATGCACCCTGCTGGTCATCGTCCTTTTAAACGTATGTACCTTGGTAAGGGGTGCACGTGGTATAATTCGTGATAGGTCGTTTTTCTTTTGCTAAAGAAGTAAGATTAGTAGTAGTAGTGGTAATGGTAGGGAAAAGCTAGTCGATAGAAAGAAGAAGAACTTTGCCCTCGCATCGGCCATCGACCATCGCCCATCGGCCACCGGCCTATGCCTTTTTCATAATTGATCGTTCGATCGATATCCGTTCTCTGGCATATTCTGCTTTCAGGACTCGAGGGGGAATTGTACTACGTCAGAGAGGGGGTGGTCAACGCGTACGCCATGAATTTTGTCGTTCCGGTGCCAGCGAATATAGCAGATCTTGAATTTTCCTGGCAGAGTTTAGCCCGCCACCCGGTATGTACGCATGGTTTTTTTTTCATTATTCTTTTCCCTTTTGATGTATCTTGTCAAACTTTATCATCCAGGATAAAAGGATGGATAAGGAATATTTTTCTCATTAGTCTAGAGCGGAATAATGAACGAGGTAAAAAAACGAATGTCAATGATCTAGACTACGTAAAGTTAACGATTAAAATACGAATATTTAAAGTACAATCGTCGGTCAATGTGTTTTACAAAATCACCATAATTTATTTTAGATTATAGGTATATTGATATATTAAAAATATTCGTCATTATACGTCATTAACATTATTCATATAACGTACTAACGTTTTACGCTAAATCTTTTCAAAGAAGTTAGAATAAAAGTTATTTTTCCATCTAACCTATACACCGTTGTATTACACATGTTAATAGACACGCGCATACATAGAAATGTTAAAATATTCGCTTGGTCAGTTGAATCAAATGAAGAGAGATAATGGTGGTCCTTTAAGTGTTAAGTCATGGTATGCTCGTTTAAATAAACGCTACTATATACTCATACATATGTAGATACACGTGTATACGTAGAGAAACGCGTATAGAGGGCTCTAAAGCATCGTCATGGTAGTTTAGCAAGAGGGTGTTCAACGAAAGAGAGAGGGTGGAGACCTCGGTCGAGGACTATATCAATACTCTATCAATATGAAATACAAACAAGCGATGAGAGAGCGGCAGTCCGTGTCTCGATTTTACTTTCCCCCTTTAGTCACCAAGGAAACCGTACTCACCCTCTAAAACACTCCCACCACCACCTCCTGACAAGGAAATCGTGGATTACGCGGTTCTCGTTTCTTTCTTCATTTATCTTTCTTCTTTCAAATTCTATTCATTTTTGGATACTCTGACCCTGACATTTGCCACAAACGTACATATAGAAATAATTAAAACAATTATTCGTTATTCCATGTAAATTAAAAAAAACTTTTGCAAATTCGATAATGTTTTGTAATATTTACGAGTGTTGAAAAATGTCGCGATCGTCTTATAAATTTACACTCAAATGTAGGAATGTAAAGTGTTAAAATCTCGAGATAGGATTGAATTACGAAGAAAATGCAAGGACGCGTATGCGATTCTCGTATACGGACGAATGCATCGACGTTTCTCTATAATTTCATTCGCCTTTGAACGGCACAATTTGCCTCCCATTACGAATCGATTGCTTCCTACCGTGTCGAGCTAATAAAAAAATGTTTCAATGCGTCGAGTTGAATCCTTGAAAATTTATCGTTCGAATTTCTTTTTAATAAATGTTCAATCAAATTTTACAATTTTATTTCATGTCAATGAGCAAATGTTGAAACGTTTCATTGAAACATTATAAATCGTAATAATAATAATATAATTATTATTATTATTATATAATTATAAATTATATAATAAATATTATAATAAAAAAAATATAATAAAAATTATAATTATAAATATTATTATTATTATTATTATTATTATTATTATTATTATTATTATAATCAATAGTAATTATAAAATAAGCCATGAAGCTCATAACAATAAGTGTACAATATATTACCATTTACAAATATATTGTCTATTTTGTTTTGATTAACATAAAATGGGCATAAATATTATATATTTTTATTGTGACAGGAAAATAGGAAACTAAATGTCCCTTGATGCCATCAAGCTTTTTTGAACTCTTCGAATATTAATGCAGAGAATTAAAATAACGCGTATAATTTTTCAAACGACAAATTGTAAGATATATAGTAGTCAGTAAGTATCTCGGAAGAGTTTCAAATAAACGCATGTAAGATGCTTTTAATTTATTCGCATTTTTTGTATATCATTTGTTTCCTTTAATTTTTCCATTTCGATACTTTTGCATCGTCGGATTGTCTTAATTAATTAACTGGCACCCAATAATAAGGTCATAAAGTTAATTAAAAATTTAGAAAACACTATCCTAGGCCACGCTAAATGGAATATATTTATTAAATAGTAAAACAGATATATTCGGCCTCATTATACCATTATATAATCATACTAACGATTAAATTGAATTTAACTAATGTTTTTACGTAAAATATGGTATGCAATTGTCATAAATAATCACGTATCTCTCTATGTGTGTATGATATAATCCTTAAATCCTTGAAAATCGTCGAATATATCGTTCGTTCCATAGTACATACATACATGATATAATAAAAATTCAAAATATCTAATAAGCAAATACATTACGTATTAAAATATTGACAGATAAACTAGCTTGTCGCGGAGAAAATTTATCGAAATCGATATACAAATAGGCAAATCAAATTGGAGTATGGATGAAATTTACTAGCGTAGAGCTATATATCTGATAGTTGGACGTGTCCATTCGCGTAACAGGGTCGCAACCCCAATTACACATGCCGTATCGTTTGTCTATCCGTTCATCTCTGTTCACGAAAACTTCTTGTTGTGCGTGGTAATTTACGTTCTATCCGTACCCTTCGCAATGTCTGACTCACTATCGCTGTTTCTCCTTGTTGTTATCTTTGTCTTTCTATCGATAAAGATAATCTCGAATAATCTTGTCCTGTATTGATAGTCTAGTCATTCGTACAAGTTACAATATAAAAAAATACACGCTTACAAGGTAAATAATAACGACGATTTTGAAAAGATTCATAAAAGAAGGCCTTACCAAAAAATGTTTTTTCGATGACATATCTCTTTTTCCATCAATCAAAATATGTCTCATAAAGATTTTTTATATTATTCAAAACGAGCGAAATTAGTTAGGGAAAACACCCTCTATATACGTATATGAAATACAATAAATTGGATTTATATACACGTTTAATAATTTTCCGTGGAATAAGATTGGTTGAAACTATGAATACCCTCTATATCTGAATATTAAATACAATATATATATATATACACGTTAAATAATTTTCCCATAGAATAGAATTGGTTGAAACTATGAGGATTACAGTTACTCGAGATTAGTCGTGGAAAATGGTCTCGTTTCATGAACTTCCCTTACCAGATTTGAATCGAGATTGTTCATACGATTGTCCCAATTATCCTGACGTTCAATCTAACCGAAATCGAAGGGTATAAGATCTGTTCGAGTGATCGGGTAACGTCGAATTGAAGATAAGACGAGGGGTTGCGTCAGTATTGCGTCCCTTCCTTTTTTTCTCTGCTAACGTAGATAGGGACTCGTGTATGCCCTATTGCTCCTAGATAGCAATAATATCCTTTTTTTCTTTCGTTGGAACGAAAGTACGCCCCATCGAGTTCCCATCGGCCTCGAGAGACCGACGGTATTACAAGTAATTGTCGCCTTAGGCTACCCGACCATCCACCCCTGTCATATTCACCCCATTTTACACAACGTCCATCTTTCTCTTCTCCTGGTTTTACTATTCGCGGAGAACGGTGTTAACAATAAAATGGGGGAGAAAGAAGAGCTGAGAAGCTTTCGCCTAACAAGTGGATGATTCATGAATCATTCCGAATTCATGTTTATTCCGTTTATTGCAAAAAGTTTTAATTCTTCTTCTAAATTGAATCAATTACTATTTTTTCACCGTTGTTATTGTATTAAATAATTTTATTTTTCCTTTGTGGTTAATTATTTTCTTTTTATATAATTTATAGTTTTAATAGGAAATTTTTAGGGATTCAACGCTGACTATAATTTTATAGATGGATCGAACATTCCTAAAGTTAATATTTTCTTGAATTGTTGACAACGTAATTAACCTAAAGTAGCCTAATATAAGAATTTTAGGATCACCCGAAATGCAATCTTTATTTCTTATTTCCAAATGCATCAATCTTTCATGATGTCCTACTTTTAGTTCTTTTTACTTTCTTATTAACAACAGAACAGATCAGTAGAAGAAGCAGAAATGTTCTTTTCTAGAATCTTTCGATTTTTTTAATCTTTCCGACGTCAAAAGGTCAAAGGATCGTAAGGATACCATCGTGACGATTGTCGACAGAGACGAAGAGTGTAATTATAAAGATAGAAAAGACTGTGTTAGAGGAAGATTGTCTTAGAAAAGCTTGTAAAAGATAAAACGAAAGAATAAAAATTAAGAGATCAGTAATTTACAAAATATTTTCTGTTTATTGTTGTCGTCTAAATATAATCGTCAGGTAACCTTTTTTTCATATCCATATGTGGGGAAAAAATAATAATAATAATGAAGAGAAATCAGTTCGATTGCTGGCTCATTCATTAGGAATTTATTACCTGCCGTCGTACTCGACGCGTATGAGAGCGCCAAAATACGTGATCTACGATATTTCATTTTGATAGTTGCGCGCGTATAACCGTCGATTACCGCGGCTGCCGTTAATTAATTAAATTGCGGCCGTAAATAATCGATCGTATTTTCGTGCATGTTGGCAAACGGTAGCAGCAGCGACAGAAGCGTTGTCGAAATCGTAACGATGGTCATTGACGTTTACAAACGATTACGAGATTATAACTTTTCTCTTTGATATCTTTATCGCATTACTTTTATTACTATACAGTATGATAATATTTCCACTTCCAATTAATCGGTTGATATTTTAGATGAAATCACGGACTCTTTCAGATTGTTATTTTATTCATAAAAGAAAAACAAAAATTGTTAGCGCCAATTGATCCTAGATTGATTGAGGATTAAATTCAAAGCTTTTGTCTTCTCGTTGAATATTTTTTTGTCATAAAAGAACATAGATCAATATAGTTTCGTCAAAATAGTCACTATTTCCTATCTCGTTGTATAGAAAAGTAGTTAAAAGTATCTATACTTTGTGAAATAAATGAGATACGATTTAGAACGATATAATGTTTTGATATTTCCAATATTTAACGATAAATAAAGCAAAAGGAGAAATATTAAATATGCATCGCAATCAGTAATTATTTGAATAAGAAATAAGAAGACATAGGGCTTACTAATGATATTAATATCGTTTGGCGAAGGGGGTGTTGGAATTAATTGGAAATTCAA